AGTTCTAATCTTTGTCGAGAAGCTTTCGATCTGACATTTGAATGATCGACCAAAATATTGTTAAGTGGCTTATTCCTGGAATATAGTCATCGCTGAACATATGCCAAAAATGCATTTCTTCTTGTGAATTGATTTTTTTTAAAAAAAAAGAAAAAAATCAGACTTCCATTCACGTGGCTACATACATACTTAAAATTAATCTCCATGTTATGATCTGATATTCATCTCATCTTTGACCACTTGTATAGTATTGCCAATTATCATACCATGCAGCCTTATTTTTGCACTTGAAAACTCTTTACTTGCACTTTTTCCTTTCTACCGCCTGTCGCATTCCTTAAAAAAGAGAGGGAGAGAGAGAGAGAGAGTTAATTTTATGAAGAATAATGCTATCATAATCAGCTATTACAATAGTCATTCTATGTACGTAACAGCTTGTTATTTCTTAATTCCTTAATTTCCTGTAATTCTATTGTCTCAAATAATAAACTAATGCCTCAAAAAAGTTGTCAAATAAAATGATTACTGCAGACTTTAATTATGAACAGCATTACCTTTTATGAAACATAAGAGTTATGTAGAGTTGATGAGTTGAACGCCGGGATGGGCTTATTGTATTGGGCTCAGACCCGTAGCTGTGGGTGGTGGGCCCAAGTGGTATGATGGGTTATTTTCGTAGTTGTTTTGATGATGGCAAACACTTCTTAGCTTGGAAGCATTACCTAGCAGATCCACTCTAGAGCTCTGACATGGTTAGATTCAATTAACTCGTTACATTATCAAAAGGTTCAAAATTCAAATGGTCTTAAAATATGTGGTGTTAATTATGCGAATAGTATACGAACTTTATTTTTTGTTTCAAATTCATACATAAATTTAAGGGAAAATTGCAGTCATGGTATCAAACATTTCACTTTTTTACAAACTTTGCCGAAACCTTTGATTTGTGCCACACACGGTACCAAACCTTTCAAAATGTAACAGCTGAAGTCCAAATGGATGCATCCATTTGACCGTTAGTTGATCAAGAATAATAGATTTGACCAAATTTTAAAAGGGCAAAATGGTAACTTTCCCTTTTTTCATATAAATAAGAACTAAAATAAAATTATTAAATCAAAAACCAAAAAATCATATTTTCTTCTCCAATCATCCCACCCCACCTCACCTCACTTCACTTCACCCCCACCCAACCCAATCCAACCCAAAACCAAAACTTTCGGCACCACAACCGCCTCCTCCTCCCACCACGACGACCTCAACCGCAATTTTCTCTAAATTATATACCACGAAATTATAGATGAATGGAAAAATCTGAAAGAGGAAAACCATGGTAGGTGTTAGATACAACTGCAGCTGCTTGTACTTCTCTTCACATCCCATTGTTTTGCGATTCTCTTCAACAAATACGAAGAACGCAATATCTACGGGTAATCCCATCTGGGCCTCAATCAGTTCCTTCAAATTCACATAATTTTTTTTTTGCAAACTTCCCAGGTGTGAAACTGATGCAAATAAAGGGATCTCAACTAGCAAGAAAATGGAAGACTATAACATAGCAATGAAGAGAACGATGAGGAACCCATATGAGTATCATCACGATCTCGATTAGTTTTCTTCTGCTGTTCAAATAATCTTTGATTGAACTTTTTGTAGTTGTTGGATTATATTTAATTTTGATGCCCTTTTAGATCAGAGAATAAGACACTATTCTGGGAACTTTTTGCATTTAAGTATATGTCTGCCACGTGAGGATGAGGTCGGAGCGGCGGCGAGGCCAGGCTGAGGAGGAAGAGGTGGGGTCAGCGTCGACTGGTGGTGGTTGAAGTGGTTTCATGATTGATACAAAAAATGGATGGTTTGAGGAAGAAGAAGAAGACTCTTTTGTTTTTTTTCTCTCTAATTATTATAATTATTTTATGTTAAAATTATAAACTTACTATTTTGTCCTTTTAAAATTTGGTCAAATTTACTATTCTTGATCAACTAACAGTCATTTGGATTCCAGCTGCTACATTTTGAAAGGTTTGGTATCGTGGGTGGCACAAATCAAATGTTTGGGCAAAATCTACAAAAAAGCGAAAGGTTTAGTATTGTGGTTACAATTAATATAAAATTATTTTT